GAAGTTCAATTTGTTTGCAAAGGTGTTGTTAAAATATCACTCCACTTTAAGTCAGTGGTTCTCAACCTTTTTACTCCCGTGCCATATCGTAATGTTTTTTATTTGGAAGGAGTAAGAAATTCCCTAAACTACAGCAGAGATCTAATGATAAACCTTATACAGTCATTCTGTGCAGACTGTATGGCAAATACTGCCACCTAGTGTTGCTAGTGTGTTTGTTCAGCGTTCCCCTATTCAAGCGCAGTGTAAAAGATCTGTCGATCACAATGGGAAATTTGGGCTTGGCGCTGCAAAGCATATTTGAAAGGGAGAGTCTGTTGCTCTGTTTAGAAGCTGCTTTTCTATATTTAGTTTTCAAGGCTGCACGTTTGGAGATCTCAGCTTCAAGAGGCACAAAATGGAGGAGTTTGTAAACCGCAGCAACAGAGAATGAACCCGCTAGCCAGAGATTTGTGAGACTCAAGTTGCCAAAATGTTCTTTAAATTTGCGTGTTCCACTTTATCGGAACGCATGTGTTTTCCCTGAAAGATTTAACCGCTAAACCCAAAAAAGGGAGTTGTGGTCTTCCAGGAAGCAGGCGGTAGACTGCTGTTTTAGTCCTGCTATAAGACTAAAGCGCCCTGCAGGAGACAAATCTTGTGCCCCTGGGCAGTTGTCATCTGTCTGGTAAACATCAACAACGCAGCGTGATCCAGCCTGAGAAGCTGTTTCGGGCCATGTGCCGCTGTGTAGCTCTTTTTTTGACTGATTTCATGCCTAGCTTTCTTCTCAAGAAGTCGACTGGGGCTGAGCTCAGGCTGGGTGCGATTGGCTCAGTCTTAAAGCAGTCATGGCAGATCCTTCACCAACTGGGGCCTGCTTGTGTGTGAAGGGCCTGACAGGGAGAGAGCTCTGGGGGTTCAGATTACAGTGATGTGACTGGGCCAGCAGATGATGGGGTCCCCCAGAATGTTTGTGGGAGAAGACTGGTTGAGCACCGCTGCCCTAAAGTATTTCACTTGTCTTGGTATGGCTTTGCTAAAAAATTGGAAATGAAAGCTGTTTTTATACGATACTGGTAACTCTCACAGCAAATGAGATTTTGATCCCAAGTTTTCAATCTCTAGTTTAGAATAAACCTTTGCCCTTACACAACAGTATACATGTGCACTGCTTTGGGGTTTTTAGCTTTTCATAACCAAAACAGCTTTAATTCGAAAGGAGCCCTTGAAACACTCTACTGGAGTTTGCCTAGCCTGCTGCAGGCACGTCAGTGCTTTCGCCATGGTTGCATTGGTTCATGTACTGCGTAAGGGGAAACCGAGACACTCGATCAGCAGCGTGGGCTCTGTATATATCCCATCACTTTAGGTAATTGATATCCAGCGATCCAAGGATCCTGTCTGTTTGTAAACATTCACTTAAGAGGTTTAAGTTCATGTCATGTTCATCAATTGTGTAAGTATCCTGATGCAACTCTAATCAATTAGTTTATTTCAAAACGGGGAAACTAAAATTTTAATTTGAGTATTGTGGTTAAAAAATACTGCAGATTCATGCAGCGTTGTGTTTTTGTTCCACGTAAATCCAAAACGCTGGAAAACAGAGGAGGGTGGGAGGACACCCCGCTGTCCTCTTGTCGCAGGTGTGCAGCGCACTGTTTCCGCTGGTCGGGCTGTCCGCGGTCTTGCATGCTGTTCGCTAACTGGCTGCTGTGCATTTTTAACCCGAAGGGAGCCGGGGAGCAGTTTTCGCTGTTCGGAGAGTGCTGTCCGGACACTTTCCGTGTCTCCCTTTGTCAGGACGAGGAGGCGGCGGCGGCGGCCCGGGCGTCCGGCCGCAAGAGCCGGGAGTCTCCAGTGCCCATGGAGATGGACCAGCTCTTCGACATGGACATGCTCATGTCCGAGTTCTCCGACACGCTCTTCTCCACCCTCTCCTCGCACCAGGCGTGGCCGAACCCCAGGGAGATCGGTATGGGCGGGGCAGGGGGCGGGGCAGGGG